CTCAAGGCTATATATGGAACAGCAGGGGCTACTTGTAAAAACCTGGAATTTAAGATTTGCTTTTTTTTTTTTTTTCCTTAGCTTAGTGTGCTTTCAGTAAACCAGTCTACCAACTTTCTTGAGCTTTTTTCCTCATGGAATTTAACCCAGCAGTTTTTTTTTTTTTATTGACACGTACATATTTATGAGACACAATGTGATGTTTTGATTCATGAATATACTGGGTACTGATCAACTCAGGCATATCTGTCACATCAAAGTTTGAACATTCCTTTATGATAAATATATTCAAAGTCTTCTGTTTTGAAGTATACAATGCGCTATTGTTAATTACATTCACCTTGCTATGCCATATAACACCAGAACTTATATCCAGAATATATAAGGAACTCAACTCAATAACAAAATAACCCAGTTTTTAAAATAGGCTAAAGATCTGAACAGGCATTTCTCAAAAGGTGACATACAAAAGGCCAACAGATATGTGAAAAAATACTCAATAGCATTGATTAATAGAGAAATGCAAATCAAAACCACCATGAGATAAATCCAGTTAAATGCCTATTTATCAAAAAGTTAAAAAATAGAGGTGCTGATGGAGTGGCTCAGGTTGTCTAGCAGACATGAGGCCCTGAGTTCAAACCGCAGGAGCACCAAAAAAAGTTTTAAAAAATGCTGGTGAGTGTTGGTGTGAATGTACAACCATGATGAAAAACAGCATGGAGGTTCCCCAACATGGTCAAAGTACCATGTACAAATGTATGAAAATAGAAAATGAAACCTGCTAAAATTGTTTTTTAAGAAGAGGGATGTGGATAACAGTAATAGAGGGAGTGAATTTAATAAGGGTACATTTTATGCATGTATTGAAGTATCACAATGAAACCCCTTTGTACAATATAAACTAATAAAAATAAGGGAAAAAATAAAGCTACAATATGGTCCAGCAATCCAACTTTGGATATATACCCAAAGAAAACAAAATCAACATGTTGAAGAGACACCTGAGCTCTCATGGATTTTTCAGCACTGTTCACAATAGCCAGGATATGGAATCAACCTAATGTCCTTTGGTAGGAAAATGGATAAAGAAAATGTGGTATTATGTAAACAATGGGATACTGTTCAGCCATAAAAAGTATGAAATCCTGTTACTTGGACAGCATGAATGGATGTGAGGGACATTATGCTAAGTGAAATAAAGCATGCAAAGAAGCGCTGCATGTTCTCATAAGTGAAATCTAAAAGTTGATCTCATAGAAGTTGAGAATAGAATGGTGGTTAACCAGACTGAAGAAATGGGGAGATGTGGAGAGTTCTGTCAATGGGTAAAACATTATAGTTTGATGGCAGGAGTAAATTCTGGTGTTCAATCCAGCTTTAAAAGAAGGAAGTGTTTCTAAGACTTCCTCAAGGCCATCTTCCTGTAGGAACCATACTTTTTTTGTTGTTTGTTTTTGCAGTGCTGTGAGTTAAACCCGAGGTCTTGCCCATGCTAGGCAAACACTGTACCACTAAGCTATACCCCCCAGCCTAGAGTAATACTTCAGAATGATACATCTGATGTTTTCATATGCTTTGGGAAGTTTCTTCTCAGTTTCCAAGTTCCTTTGATTGGTTTTCTGTAAATTTGCAAGCAGGGTTTGATGTATTTGAAATTTTAGCTGAAGTTTTTGAATCCTAATTCAAAACTGTATTTTCAGATTACAAAGATACTTAGCCTGGCTTGGTGGTCATACCTGTAATCCCAGCACTTGGGAAGCTGAACCAGGGAGATGGTGAGTTTAAGGCCAGCCTGGGCTATGTAGCAAGACCCCTTCTAAAAATAAATAAATAAATGCTTATTCAGTTTGAAGATTAGTCATTTGAACTGTTAGTACTTATTTTTCCCCTTCAGGCCTTTTCAAAGAAACATTTAACAGCACCATTGTATTTCTTCAAACTGACTTTTCGCTGATAGTCTATAGAGTTTCTCAGTTGTCTGATTTTCTCTTTGTCTGATTTCAAGTTTCCACCAGCAATGTAATCTTTTCTAAAAATAGTAGGCTGACTTACCATTTTCAGTGTGGTTTCAGAAATTTTATGGGGTTCTATCATTTATGACCTCTTTGATTCATATTTTCAAGTGGTCAGGCATTTTTTTTATTATTATTTCTCAATTCCCCATACTTTTTCTTCCAGCTCACAGCTGCTTGGGATAGCAGTTTTAAGATTTTCTTTTATATATATATATATATATACATCATTTCCCCTGACATTCTTCTGAGATGTTTTTGCCATAACTTGAGATTGGGAAATTTTGATATCCTTTTGAGTGATGGAGCTGTTAAAGTCAAGCCATGCAATGGCAGTTTAGAGGACTCCTTTCTGTTGTTTTTGGAAAAGGTCTACCATATTCTCAGGTGTCAAGTGGACCTGTCCAGTTATTCACTAAGAGGCTCGAGTCTTGATTCAAACATCTGACACCACCACAGAAGGCTGGGGAGGAGGAGTGGAGACTAGGTTCTGTAAAACAGTGTTCTCTTAACTACACTCAGCTCACTTCACAAGTAGAAAGTTATATTGCCTGTACAATGCATTTGGGCAAGTGGAAAAGGCCATCCCTAGTCAGAGAAGACCAGTAATGATTTCTTTCCCCTGTAGTCCCTACTTGACCCTACAGAAAACCTAGGGGATCAAAGCAGTGTTGTGTCATCAACCATTCTCTGCCACAAGCATGTCAGGGCAAGAAAGGGTACAGTTGAGGTCTTGTGTTTCCATGCTGTTAGTGAGAATCATTCTCCTGAGTTTAAAGTTTCCTTTCACAGCAGGGAGTTTGATTCTACCTACAAAGATTACAAAGATCTCCCTTCTCTGAGGGTTTTCCTTTTCTGTGTTTTTCAGTACAAGCAGTAGGCATGAAGAACTGCAGAGTCCCACAATGTATTAACTAATAGCACTGGATTTCATTGTCAGAATTAGCAATGTCAACCTTTCATGGATTTTCTGTGAGGCCAATTTGTCCCCCCAATTCAGTCAAAGCATTCGATGGAAGAAGCAGGCTCCTTGCATCATGTAACCCATCCATTTTTAGTACATGGCTCCTAGGGTTGCTCTGCAATTGATTTCCAATCCATGGAGTTATCTTCAGAAGTAGGGCTGCCTCTGAGGAGAGCAGGCCTTTCTGAGTCTTGTACCTCCTATTCCTTTCAACACAATCTCACTCTCCTAGTTTCTTTCTGGCAGATTCAACCCAAGCCCTGTGTCCATCACCTGTGTGAGGAAAGTCTTTCCACATGGAAAGGAGTCTGGGAATCTTGGAGATGTATAGGGCTCAATTCTCTCTGAAGTTGTAGTGGATTGCAGCTCAGATGTAGCCTTATGGTAAGGGGAAAAGGTGACCAAATACCTGTTACAATTTTCTGTATTTCTTTAAAAAGAGGATGGTGCATGGGGGAGTATTTTAAGTTATAAGACTTGACAGAATCAGGAAAGATGGAAAGGATATGTTATAATTTCTTTTAATGTCATTTTTTTTAGTTTTTCCCTTCGGGCTAATCTTTGGTAGAAAATGATACTATTAATGTTAAACTTGTGTTTCCAGTGACACAGATGATTTGGGGTAGTGTAGCGACTCAGCATTAAATAACAGTGAATCCATTTTATGAAGCCAGTATTACACTTATCCCAAAACCAGGCAAAGACACCTCCAAAAAGGAGAACTATAGGCCAGTCTCCTTAATGAACATTGATGCAAAAATCCTCAATAACAGTGAATCACATAGTGAGAAAGTCATTTCTTTAAAACTTGCAAACCTAATTATGTCACTGATAAGTCTTTAAGATTCCTCTGATCCTTGCTAATCTCCCTCTTTAATAAGAAAGCAGGTTTCAGATTCACATCTACAACTATTAATGTCTTCCTAAGTTTTAATAAAAACAGTCTTCTTTCATTATCTTCATTTTTATAGTTATCTTCTACTTAAGGGAAATGGTGCTGATTTTCCATTTATGGTAGTAATATAACTTTTTTTTTTTTGGTGGTGGTACTGGGGTTTGAACTCAGGGCTTCTTGCTTGCTAGGCAGGCACTCTACCACTTGAGCCATGCCTCCACTCCCATAGTGATACAAATTTTGACCAAAGAATGTTAATATAATGAGTGAAAGAAAACAAATAGTGTAAGTGATAGGTAGATACGGAAAAATTTCACTATTGATGTGCAAAAAATAGTGCTCCAGAATCTCTTATTTTTTGTGGCAGCTTCTGTATGTTGCTATGAGAAAAATTTGGGAACCCGAAAGAACTGAATTGCCATAGTGACACTTAAGACAATATACAGACATCTACCAAACTATAATCACTTTTACTTACTTAAGTCCTTGTACCACTTTCAGACTTAACAGAAAATTGTTATTAATTATAAGCCTTGAGGTAAAATGTAATTAGAACCACATTATACATTTGACTTAAGTTATAGACTTGTTACAGTATATTTTTGTAATGTCATAGCATTTTAGAACACAAAGTGACATGGCTGATGACCAGATCAGATAAATAGGTCCATCAGCTCTTTGTCTTAAACCTGTAATAGTATCCTCCATGGCACCAGACACAATTCTGTGTACAGTTAGTTGATTATGGTCAAGAGGTAGCTTCTTTAAAAATCTGAATAGTAATTTGTACATGAACCAAATTTCAACTAAAAAGAAATCAGATGGTCTAAAATGGCCACTTGAGTTCTATGCCTCAGAAAATAATAAATTTAATAGAATTACTACTGGTGCAGATAGTATACATTACAATGTTTATTCAAGAAATTTTCCCATTTTAATATTTCTCTTCAACTCCTCCCTTAATTAGTATTGCTAGCCACCCAATTAAGAATTTAACATAGATCTATTATGAGAGAAATGCTTTGTTGTTTTAGCACTCTGGAACAAAACTGTAGATGTGTGTACTAAGTTAAAGCAAAAATTAGAGGGAAATCTTTTCATCATTTCTCAGGTAGTTTGCTGGCTCTCAAGGTGAATATGGTGGTGGTGACTGTTCTGCAGAGAGTTTCTCATAGGCAGGTGGAGCATTGGGAACCTGTGCGAATGAGAAAGGAAGAAATACTATGTGTTTCCGGGAAGAAATTAAATCTAAACCACCTCATATTTACACTTTTGCTATGGACCTAAAGTTCTAAGTGTTCACACCTAATTTCTGTCCAATGGGATAATTGTCAAATTCTCATATATTCTGTCTTTGAAACATGGTATATATTACAGCACTTCTTAAACTACTATGTTTCAGGGGTTTAATAAACAGGTGTCTAGCAGGTCCTCACCAGATAACACAGCTCTACACAGTAACAGGTACTTTTTTCCTCCCCTATACATACCTGCATTGATGCAAAAAAGGCAAATGTAACTAAAACCATATAACAAAAGGGTATTATATCTAAAACCAAGTTCTTCCATTGGCTCTTTCATGTAGGGCTCTCACTAATGATCCTGGAAAATCTTAGTGTGAGAAGACAGAGTTTAAGAAAATCTCTGTGTTTCTCTTGGTTTGGGTTTTATTTATTTTTTTATTATGGTAAAATATAACAAAATTTACCATTTTTAGGTGTTTAGTAGCATTAAGCACATTCATGTTGCCGTTTTTTTCATTTGAAGTCATTTTATTCAGCTAAAAGCAGCTGTTCTTGACAATACCAGATACATGATCTTAACCTACCAGAGGTTCACAATTTTTCTCTTGGAAAGAAAGTTTGCTGTCCTGATAACCAAGTCCTTCGTGTGGGCATCTTTCCCTTAATTTACTTTCAATACCAGCATGAAGGCTTTTGTCCTGAAATGTAAAATCATAAAAGTAGGTAAATGAGAAGAAATAATTGAGTCTATTAGAGAAGAGAGAAGGAAGCCAGTGTTTTAAGAGCAGGTTTTAAGCTAAGTTCTGCCACTTACTTCTTGTGTGTCCTCAGACTAGTCACTTTACCTCTCTGAATTCCTTGTTTTGCATTTGTAATAGGAAGATACTACTACCTACTTCTCAGAAATAATAGAATTAACTAAAGGCAAAGAGAAGGAAAATGGTACATGAGGGAATTGGTTGCCAGTAGGTCCTCCTTGCAATGAATATTGAGTTATTTAGAGAGAAGGAAAACAATATAGATCAGAAACTCAAAAACATAAGAAAATAAATGGTTAAATAAAAAGTTTTGTTTTCCTAATTCTTAGTTGATCTTACAGAGTAATTTTTTCAAATAATAGCAACATGAACTAGCAGAGTGGTTCAAGTTGTCAAGTTCCTGCCCAGCAATCGCAAGGCCCTGAGTTCAAACTCCAGTACTAAATTTTACAAAAACTATATAAGGCAAAACACAGAATGGAAGACCAAAGTAGGAACAAAGAACAAGGGCAAACAAGGATAAGGGAAGAACATATAAAAGAGTAGCAAATATGGGTACATATTAATTCAGCAGCATCACTAATCACTTTTCAATGTTAATTGTTTATATGTACCAATTAACAAATATCAAATTGGATAAAAAAAGCAGAACTATGTGTTGAATATAAGAAACCCATTTTTAAAAAATCACATGTACATGAAAAGTAAATGAATGGAGAAAGATAAACATGCTAATACTAATCAAAAGAAAGTGGGAGTTCAGAAAGAACAGACTACAAAGAAAGGTCAGGATAATTAAGGGCATTACATAATGACAAAGGATATTCATTCTCCAAAAAGCCCTAACAGTATTTAACACATTTGCACCTAACAACAGAAGATCAAAACACATGAGACAAAAACTGACAGAACTCCAAGGAGATGTACTTGAATCCACTATGTAATTGGAGTTATTATGGAAGACTTTTAACACCCCTCTATCAGAAATGGAAAGGTCCAGCAGGCAAACCTCCAGTAAGGACATAGATGAACCCACCAAAACCACTAGATAGACTCCTAAGGGCTAGTTGCTGTTGTCATCCAACAACAGCAGAATATATATTCTTAAACTCACATTTTGGGCCTAAAAAAAACAATACATTTAAAAGAAAAGTAATCGTGCAATGTCTACTATCAGACTTCAATGGAGTTAATGTAGAAATCAACAAGAAATATAACTGGGAGGGCTGCAAGTGTGGCTGAAATGGTAGAGCTCCTGCCTAACAAGTACAAGATTCTAAGTTCAAACCCTAGTATTGCCAAAAAAAAAATTTTAAGAAAGTTGGAAAATCCCAAAATAGTTGGAGATTAAGCAACTGACTTCTACATAACACATGGGTCAAAGAAGAACTCTCAAGAGAAATGTTTTAATATTTTAAACTAAAATTGAAAATACAACTTGCCAAAGTTGTATTTATAACATTGAATGCATATATTAGAAAAGAATAATGTAAAATCAGCCATCTATGCTTCCACCTCAAGAAACTAGATAAAGGAGAGCAAGTTAATTCTGAAGTAAGCAAGAAAAAAAATTAGTTCAGAAATCCAATGAAATTGAAAATAAGAAATTAATAGAAAAGAAACCAAAAGCTGGTTCTTGGGAAAAATTGATAAAATTGATTAGCCTTCAGGTAGGCTATGTAAAAGACTCAAACTACCAAAATCAGAAATGAAAGAGCAGATCACTACAGATGACATGAACATTAAAATGTACACATTAAAATGCAGACTCCTTAACCTGCCACCACAGGAGATTCTGAATCTATATTTTAGTAAGAACCCCAGGTGATTCCCAAGCAGGTGACCCCTTGACCAAAACATAATACCATGAGACATGAATTGAAATTAAACTGTTAGCAAGGGCTTGAAATTATAATCCGAAACCAAAAGTATTATGTTTTCAGTTTCCAAGCAAAACTGGAAAACATAAAAACCAATGTCTATTTCCTTCTTCCTGTTGTAGAAACAGGTTGCTGCAAAAAGCAACCTTTTTTTCAGGGCTCAGGAGAATTGTTAACCAAGGGACAAATTTTAGGTAATCTAAATTTTAACCAACCTTGTTACCATTCTCTGGCCAATGAAAGTTGGAAAGTACACATTTCAAAGTTTAATGATGACTGCTAAAGCTTCCGGTACCCAAAGCTTAGGTCTATTGCCTTAAAATGGAAGTAAAATCTCAGAAAAAATGAGGTGATTTTTAATTAAATTAAGTACTTAGTGCACTATTTTACATAATTTTGCCTAAATTTCTTAGACTGCTGATTCCTAACCTGGCTCTTCTGGAAATTTGAAAGTCTCAAAAGAAAATTGTAATATTAATTTAAAAATAAATATGACAGCATTTTATAGATGCTGGAGGACCTAGGCAATTTAAATACATTTCTATCTTATAAACTCACATGGAATAGTCACCATGTGAGTGACTCTCTGAGTCACTGGGTTAGACCTAGAGGAATGGAGACAAGGTAGGTTAAATTTGAACCTTACCAACCAAAATGTTCAGTGTCTAAGCATATAGCAGTATTTTTTGTTGCTCTTCAAACTGAAGGAATCTAAGATAAGGGTGTTGAAGTAGAAAGGAGAAAATTCATTGTCTTTATCTCCAATAGCATTAAGTTAATAACTGGATGGTTAGGAAGTGAGTACTAACACACTGAAGTTTGTATAGCATGTACTTCTTAAAAGACTAAATCATTGCATTTTTATATGCAGTGAATAAAGATATTGAAAATGTATGTTTAAAAAAACTAAGTCAAAAAAAAACTGAGTCAAGCATGGTGGTGCACACATGTAATCCCAGCTACTCAGGAGGAGAAGGAGGCAGGTGGATCAGGATCTTGAGTTTGAGGATAGGCTGGGCAAAGTTAGGGAGGCCTTATCTCAAAAACAAGATACAAATAAAAGAACTGTGGGTGTAGCTCAAGTGGTACAGTGCTTTTGCCTATCATGCACAAGGCCCTGGGTTCAATCCCCAGTAATGGGGGAGGTGTGGGGAGTAAAACTGATAAACATTGTGATAGCACATGTTCCTATCACGTCTAGGTATATAATAGAGCTATTGAGACTTGAAAAGTTATTATCTAAGGTCACCCAACAAGTCAGCAGTAGACAATAAACCAAATCCTGATGTACAAATTGAGTGATTGCTATGTGCCAGGCACTGGGGTAGGTACTGAAGGTAAATGTCCTGGTTCATTAAGGAAGGAAAGAAAAGGAGTACAAGAGGCAAAAATTAAATAGCCAATTACAAAGAAAATATCATTGCCCCCATGCTAGACATACACAAATGGAATTTTGTGGCAGAAAGCAAAGTCCCTCCCCTACTAACAGGTATGGACAGTGACAGAGAGGTATCATATGGGCAGAAGTTCTATCCCAAACCTCCTAATACAAATCAGTGTTAATTTGGTGTCTTCTTGTTGAGACTCAACAATTTCTGCTTTTTCCCACTAAATGTGAACACACTAGAGGATTCTGCTCAGTGGCATATCAGCCCCCCAAATTTGCTGTTTGGATTTGTGTTTGGGACACTCTTGGTAGGAAAGGCATTAGGGAAAAGTAGACACAAGATGCCCACTTCCCTGGTGAGGAGAGAAAAAACTTGGAAGATGCAACCCTCACTTTCCTCTTCTCTTCCTCAGACTGCCAAGATCCAGGTCCCCAAGTACACCAACCCTCCCAACCCTCCTCTCCTTCACAGAACCTTTCTTTTGAATGAAGTACTCACTGAATGAGGGATGGGACTTTCCAACATATTGTGTAAAGATAATACTGTTCCATTTTGCATCAACCTGAAAAGCTTTCCTATCTAAAGGAAGAAGAAGGAGGAGGAGGAAGAAGAGGAAAAAAAGAGAGACTCTCCTTCCATTCCATCACTCATTGTGGAGAATGTCTCTGGGTTCTGCAGTGGTAAAAGTTCTGCCTGGCCTTGAAGTGAGGCTGCTGAGACCTGTTGTTTTTATAGTTTGTAGACTGTTGACGTTTTCCACTCATGGAAGAACCCGGGGCCAGAACGGTGTATTAGCTTCCTGCTTACTTAGGTAAACAAGAAAAAGATACCATTAAACCACATTGCCCTCATAAGGAAGATGAAGCCTATTCAAAATAAATAAATCATAGCTGGGTGCCAATGGCTCATACCTGTAATCCTCGCTACTGGGAAGCTGAGGATCACGGTTCGATGCCAGTGCAGGCAAAAAGTTAATGAGACCTCATCTCAACCTACAGCTGGTGGCAGTGGTACACAGGTGGCTGAGATTGGGAGAATTGTGGTTCCAGGCCAACCTGGGAAAAATAGTTTGCAAGACTCCTTGTCAGTGGAAAAAGCTGGGAGAGGTGGCACACACCTGTCTTTCCAGCTATACCAGGAAGTGTAAAATAGGAGGATCACAGTACAGGCTTGTCTGGGCAAAAAGAGAGCCTCCATCTCTAAAAAACCAGTGTAAGAAGGGCTGGAGGCTTGGCTCAAGCAGTAGAGTGCCTGCCTAGCAAGCATAAAGCCGAGTTCAAACCCCAGTACCGCCAAAATAAATAAATAAAACAGTTATGCCTGTGCCCCTGAGGGAAGGTTTTCTTGTTGCACTGATGTCCAGGGCGATCTTGAATATCCTGGACCACTTGGTCTGACAGAATTAGAACTTGAACCTAGGGTTCAAAGGTGTGCAGGGGCAAGGTAGGAGAAATGGGCCACTAAGTGGGGTAAAAGAACATGCCAGAAACTCCAGAAGGACTGGTAAGACCCAACTCTAACATACTGCTGTTAAGGTGACCATGATCTCCCTTTCACTTTCCCCACACACCACCAGTGCTCAGCCACAAACAACAGCCAGATATTCAAGTCTGTTTCAAATAGAACCAAAGAGACGAGGAAAATCCCTGATCAGGGCAAAGGCAAAGGAAGAGTTGCCAGAAGTGCAATATATGGAAAGTTTCTTCAGAAACAGGAATCAGAGCTAGATATATTATGAGACTGTTATCCCACTCCCCGGAATTCAAAGAAAGAAGTGGAAAGGGGGCTCTGGATCTAGAAGGATCAGCAGCAGAAACTTCACCAACCGTCAAGGTTCTGTATCCACTTCGTCTTCTGCAATACCAGCAGCCGATGAGCAGTAAAATTCCCAGGACTGCTGTCAGGATGCCAATCCCCACGGCCCTGGCCCAAGAGATACACAAGTCCAAAATAGCACAAAACCATTGTTCCAACTTTTGAGGAAACACAAATCAATCTTCTCTCTTCATATAGGCTTTGATAGCCCAGAGGAGCACCTCTCATCACCCAAGTAGTTTTCCATCTCCTACCCAGATTAACCCACTAGACCTCCAACTCCTATATCTGGGGACAGATCCTGGTCTGGTACCCTCTCACGTGTGTCCCACAGAAGCACTGCCTTCTTGGGTGGCCCAAGCATAGCCATACCTGAGCTATTGATCCAAATGAGGACAATATATTTATTGGTAGGAATTATCTTTTAATCAGGGCCAGTTTAAAGCATTTTCCCCAAGTCAGTTCACAAAAAGAAAGTAGAAATTAGCACTGACTGAACATCTACTATAAGCCATGTGCTGTGATAAACATTCTAAGAGCATTAGGTTTTTTAATTATCATAATCACCCTGTAAGGTAGACACCATTTATCATGCCTATTTCACAGAGGAAGAAGTAAATGCAGTGGTTGAGTTCCAATACAGATGTCCCCATTCCCCTGCTGATGGTCACCCTAAACTACCACAAGACAAAGCTAGGATTTAGACCCAAGTCTATCTCTGCCCAAAATTTTCCTCAACCCTACTGGCCCTAAGGAGAAGAATCTGAACTCAACCTAGAGCAAAGCAGTAGTGTCACTTACGGAAGGATCTGGCAGGATGCCAAACTGAGAATCATACCAACCTCTTGGGCTCAGAATCCAGAGACTCTGTCAGAAGTATCATAGTTACCACAAAGGCCTCAGGAAGGGAGCCTGGGCTGTGTACTCCTGCATAGCTGGTGTCAGTTAGCTAGTGTCTGCCTGACTGACCACATCACAGCATGATCAATGCTGAAAGCACTTTGTGTTATCTTCTGCTGTGAACTTGTTAAGAAAAAAGCTCTGCAGAGTTTTGTGTTGTATATGAAACTGAGCAGCTATAGGGTAAGTGAGGTTGAACAGAAGTTTCTGGAGAGTTTTGTCCAGTACCACCTACCTACCAGCCTACCTTGGTCTCAAGGTAGCTGAGGCATCAAGCGTGTCCTGTTCAACTCCAAATGAGATGGAGAGAACTACAGGAAGGCAGTGCTAGACAGAAGCTCTAACCCGATTATGTAAGCCAGTCCACCCATTTTATAGTTCATGAAGCTGAGACCAACCAAGATTTGTCAGCATCATCACCACCATTGTAACTTCTCTACCATTCACTGAGCACCATTTTGTGCCAACATGTGCTAAGCATTTATATGCCATATATAATATGCTTTTATTTTATACTTATCACAATCCTCTGAGGTAGGTATGATATTTGTTTTACAGCTGGCATTAGGCTGGCAAAATTCCCACAGTTGCACATCCAGTAAGTGACAAAACCAGCATTCACAGTAACTGGCACTGGATACCCAACAAGCTCTAAGATCTGGACCAAACCCAGTCTCCTGTCTAACAGGACAGTGTTTTCCCTGCAGAAATCACTTCTAAAATGAAGCTGTCACAAGTGGTGTTCAATGGACTCTCATGACTGAAGGCAGCTAATAAAATTCCCCGCACGCCTGTGCTCTAACTCTACCCTGCGGTCTCCCCTTGAACATCTTGACACAGACAGAGCTCTGTTCCAGCTCTTTATGCATAGTCATGTTGTACTCACCACACACCCAAGTGACTGAGAGCATAAAACACCAAGGAATGCCAGATACACCAGAACCCGTGACTCAACTTAGCAAGGCTCCTCAGTCACTCAGATACCAACCTATGGCAGAATCACCTGAGATGCCCGTTAAAGTTCAGGCCCTGAGGCTCCACCTCTGACCTGCCAACTCAGCCTCTTGGGTTGGCAGCACCTAGGAATTTGCATTCAAGCAAGCTTCCTGGATGACTTATGTCCACTCAACTGTGAGACACTCTTCTACTGAGGTTCCAGAGACAGGTACCACTCAAAGCACGCGGGTTGACCTTTTTGACTGGCTATGGGAATTCACATTGTTCCTCCTCATTCTATCTGCTGGCAAGTTGGTGAGAGGGAGTCAGAGAATCTCAATGATGCATTCCATTCCCCTGCTTCCAACCCACCTGTTTAATTAGGTACCAGCTGAGCAAGATCCTTTCATGAGAGGATGAGTCCTAGTACCTGTGGCCTTGGGCAGTTATTCTCCACACTGATCTCTTTCACTACCCTGCACAAAACTCCTGGTGGTCCATGTACTCTATGGTTCCTTCTTTCATAGACTGAAGTTAAGAGAGTCACTGTGCTAGGAGCTTAGGTTATCTGACCCTCCTACAGGCAGCAATAGGTCAAAGGGAATGACAGCTCCCTCACTTGCATGTAAATGGGTACCTTTCTTTTGTGCTAGAACCCAGCAACTCACCTGTGCTCTCAGGGAGGATACCAGAGAACACACCTGACCCTGTATAAGCACTTTGTTCAGAATGCAAGACAGAAAACTTATGCCATCTGTGATGGGTTCCTTTATGTGACGATGGTAACAAATCCCATATGCCCTTTGTTTAGCTGCTGTCCCCAACTCCAAGCCTGCAGAAGCTTCTGTGCTCTGGGATGCTGGAGTTATGCTCTGCAAACCCCGCTTCTTTGCCCATTGGCCCCCAGTAGAGAGCCCTAGAAGAGTCTGCAAGACTGAAAGAGCTGCTCTTTCCAGTTTGCTTCGTGTTCTGGTCAGCATTACCCCAGCAACAGTTCTTCACACTGTCAGTCTTTCCCTGTCATCAGTTCTGCTTCTGACACTCCCAGAACCAGTCTCTTTGTGCCCCTCATCAGCTGACCAATACCCCCATCTCAGAGGCCTGCTGAATGCTCGATTCATAAGTCCCCTTCTCTAACCTCCTGAATCAGGTAAACAGAAACCCCTTCCCTAAGGTGGGTCTCATTTTTGTGGGCTCCCTTCTTTCCACTACAGATCCAATGACCCCCTTCCCTTCCGTGTACTCCTTCAGCCGCAGGGACTGAAGCAGCATCTTGCAGTTACTGCCTCTGAAGACACAGAGCCTTTCCCGCCTCCACTCCAGCAGGTGTGCTCAGCCAATTCCCTAGAGTAAAAGTGAAACACCTGCTTGGTTTCTGTCTTCCTGATGAGATCTTGAGAGTAACTCAGCTTAGGCTGTGAATGTCATCTTCCCCAGCTGGGAATGGTGGCGCCACATGGAAAAGGACAACTCAGTGTTCAGTCTACTGAGCTGACAAATTCCTACCTCTGGCCTTCAGCTTCACAGCAGGAGATTCTGATCTCTGCCCTAGCCTCTTTTTGGATGGGATTGTGCAAATATTTGCTTCTGCTGCCTGCAGCATAGTGTTTCATAGACAAACAGACCTGGATTTAAATCCCAACACCACCAGGTCCAGCTGCACATTTCCTGGTCTCTGTATAACACAGGAAGGATGACACAAGTGTCACCATGTGGAGGGTAAGCAGAAGGGATGTGTGTCACTGGAGAGGAATGGTTCTAGCCTTCTCTTAGTCTGTCCTTTTCTGCTGACAAGAAATGCAGATGATGACATGACATACCATCTTCAACCACATAGACAAAAGCCATGTCCAAGAGGGGTAACCAAGGGAAGAGAAGGAAACTGACAAGTCTTGAACTTTATTCTTTTGGACTACACCTAAGAGATTAAATAAAATTATATTTTAAAGAAGAGTCTGCTGAGGCATCCTATAGAAGCTGAAATGATATGCTACCTAATACCATTGGACTGTGCCCCCCAAATAAGCATATATTTGCTCTTAGGACAATTTGTTAGGTGATATCACTGCGCCTCCACAATTGAGCACTCAGGGGTATAAGAGAATCCCACCAGAGTCTTCAGAGGAAATGCTTGCAGCCTGAATTCTTTCTCAGTACCTTTAACAGATACTTCATCTTGCTGCCCCTGCTGGTTGATGCTATCAAAGACTTTTCAACAGCTCTTTCCAAAAGGAAATTAGGTTTTGCAGGGAGTTGTGAACAGACCATATAAAAGATGATTCAAATACAAGCCTGACTCTTTGTTGGGCTTGTCGAAGACTCTGCTCAGAGGATGGAGACTCCCCTCTCATCATCACACTCATAGTATGACAGACTGTCCTGTAGCCTCTGTTCCCCTAACGGCACTTAAATTTGCTGAGATTATTCTCATGCCTAACTCCCTCACTGAATTGTTAGCATTTTCAAAGATAAGAGCAGTGTCTTGAACCAGTATACAGTGCTTAGCACTCAGAAATGATAAGCATTTAATTATCTCAGGATTATAAATGCCTTCCTGTAGGATAAAGTTGTGATGCAAAGGTTAAAGCCACTATCTTCATCCTAGTTTCAGTCTATTGGTTGAGTCCTGCACACCTGCCCTTCATCCTCACTGGCTCTTTGGCAACTCTACTTATTCTGTCTGCAAAGCACTTTAAGGAACCTGAGTAGTGCTGACAGAACAAGGCTTGAAGAAGAGGCATCTTGATCCTGGACAAATGTTTTTCAGCTTGGAAACCTATAGGTAAGGCCCAGTGGCCAAGAATGCAAACAAAAAATCTCAAGATCCAACTTTTGTTATTCCTATCTCCCTGTTTGGCTTCAGAAAAACTTGAATGAGTCCCTTGTAGGACCACAAGGTCTCCCCGGCCCTTGTTGCCAGGGTTTTTACTCTCTGGAGAGATAAACACTGGAGAGATTTATAGACAGGTATGTGCTGGTGGAAGCTAACAGGCTGTGACAGCAAATGACAAACTGGAAACCCCACTAGGTCTAGTTTGAACTTACTCTTCAGTTGTGATGTAAGAGTGGCCATGCCCCTTCCTGGGGTAACCATAGTGAACCTCTTCTCTTGGCATCCTCTGGGGTCAGGGCACAGGATACCTAACAGATGGACACAAGAGCATCAGCCAGTGCGTTCAAAGCATCCTTACGTGTCATTTCATAAAGACCCACAAAGACTGCTGCAGGTGACCAACATTAATAGGCAGACCCTCTAGGTTTCTCCATGAAAGGATTTTTACATGCTTCCTTCACTAACTTTAAGGGCTTTAGAAATAGCTCAGGCTTCTAACCCTTTCCATTAATGGAAAATTAAGTTTGAAGAAGAAACTGCAATTAAAAAGCCTGGAAGTGAAGGGGGGAGAGAATGGGAGATAGGGCAGGGAGAAGAGGTGTCCCCAACAATGTATACACATATGAACAAATGTAAAAACAATAAAAAAACTTTCAAACTGAGTAATTATTTCAGGGGGAAATGTTCATTTGCCTTTAATTTGACTCTATACCATAAACTTGGAAAGAAACAAACAACTGAAATGCATTTTTATTCATTCTCCACTTGGCTGACTCAGGATAGTGAGAGGTTAATAAATACAAGAGGAGTTATTTCCCTTCTCTCCAAAGTTACTATTTGGTATCGATCCCTAAATAAACAGAAGGCTATGATGAGATGTGTGTTTCCCAGGGCACCCCAGCTTGAGCCTGGCCATGGGTGTGTGAGATACAGTGCCTGAGCGAGCACAGCATCTTCCAAACCCACTTTTCAACAAGGGAAACCACTCCAGACAGGTACTTGTCCATATGCAAGCTACCCAAAATAAACCAAGGAAGCTTAGGACCTGACTTTGTCTAACAATTTGTTTTCCCTCCCACCTGAGTCAATTAAGGCTCCTTTCTAGTTTAACTTTCATTTCTAGGAATTTTTTAAAAATTAACTGTAATATATATAAATGAACAACAATAAAAAAAAAGAGCCCATGAACTGCAGTGGTCATAATTAAAATGAGCTCATTAAAAGCCAATAATGGAAGCTTCTTTCCTTGCTATTGTGTATTTTTCTTCCCTCTACTATGCTTGTGAATTTCAAAGCTCTGATCCCCATAGAGTTACATTAATAGCTCCAATTTGAACAACAGGAAGATTGGGAGATCAGACTGGGGATTTTACCATGTGACTCCTTTCTATTGGGGCATTTTATGTGTAATTTACCCTTCCCAGTTGTAAAAGAAGAAATTACAGTTGAACTCACTGATCATCTCAGGGGGATAATGTAGGTTTGACACTGTGTTCAAAGTGACAGGCAAGAAACTCATTAATTCTACATTAAATTGTTTTTGAATGTCTATAACTCAAGCTCAGAACCTTGGCAAACAGTATAGGGACAGCAAATGCTCTCCTTCCCACTCATATCAAGAGAAGTGGTCATTTAAGTGACAGAATACATCCAGAACAGGGACGCTGCTTGCCACCTGCAGGCTGTCCACCAGAATAATCACAGTCACAGTGGATTGACAGATGATCTAGGAAGAGATTTTGTGGACCCTCAAAAGTTGGAGAATTACAAACGCTGTCAGTAAAATATCAGGGACCTGATGAGGCAGGAAAGAGAATCCCACTGGCTTTTTCTGAACCTTGGAAAAATGGACTATGATTATTGAGAAGGCAATGCACGCACTTACCTTTCTTGATGAGACAGTCCTTTGCCTGCTGACTGGCTGTGTGTGTATGTGCATGTGAAAATTGCTTCTCTGACTCTCAATCTTTAAAAAAATTTTTTTCTTGGTCTTGAGTCCCATGGTAGTCACGAGTTTGAATTCCTGACAGGGTTGTCTGTGATTGCTCATTTGGCATAAAAGAAACCAACTTCATTCCACCCTTTAAAAAAAAAAAATCACAGCTCACTGTAACCTCTGTTTTCCCCAGTCTCAATGCTTCATCCTAAGGAAGCCATTTATTTTAAATGCTGGTTATCCTCTGTAGGGTTGCCAGATAAAATATAGGATGCCCAGTTACATTTGAATTTATACAGATAAAAAATACACAATTTTAGTATAACCATGTCCCAGGTAATAGTTTTAATATAAATGTATCACATATTGCATGGGACACACATTAAAACATTATTTTTTGTTTATCTGAGATCCAAATTTAACTGAGTGCCGTACACCCTCCCTCATCTCCACTTCAAAGGGCTGAAGAGCCTGTAGACTCAGATCTAGAGATTATCCTACACCCTCACTTCCAAGAAAAGGAAGATGAAGATCCTGAAAACCTCCTAAGAGGAACGTCCCGAGTTCTTTGTCACAACCTGGGATTAACTGGCTACCGTGCACAGTGAGCTTCCATGCATTTTCAAGAGGCAGATGAAAATTTCCTTTGCAAGATAGAATATGACCTACCTAGAACCCAGAGCCAGTTCTGCTTAACATCGTAATCTACCCTGGGAATCAAATGTGGTGAGCCCAGAGGATTTCAATGGGACATGACAGTCACCTTTGCTAATTGGCGCTCCATAACCATCATGGACAAACAAAACAAAGCAAAAACCATGTCAAAATGAAGGACTATGAGAGTACCCATCAGCTGAGGACTTGAGCTAAATGAGCACCAAGATCCTATGGCTTTTCAGTTTCCATGTTGGGCTGTGAACAACAGCTGTCATGTGTGAGTGCATATCAACCTAGTGGAAACTGCATAGTCATCACTGGAATTGGCAAGAGAGAAACAAAACAGAAAGAGGAGCTGATCCTTATTAGGTGAGACAGAGAGAAAAGGAGGGTATATTTAAACTGAAATCTAACTAACAGAAGGAGTCAGCCTGAAAAAGATGGAAGCGGAGCTGGGAATATAGTTCAGTGGCAGAGTTGCTTGCCTAGCAAGTGCAGGGCCCTGGGTTCTATTCTTTCCAGAAAGAAATAAGAGGAGGCAAGGAAGGAAATAACAAGAAAGGAGAAAGAGGAGGAGAAGGAGAAGGAAAAGAAGAAAGTAGAGCATTTCATATAGAACAACCAGTGCAAAGATACTGAAACAAATTGACAGAATATGATTTGGTCTGGGTTCCCAGCACTGAGACTGGCTCAGAAGGCTTTTTACAAAAATTGGGAAAGGATACAAGTTGTCAACAGATTTGGGGAGAGCAATTTCAACCAGTACCTCAAGGTTATGTATGGTAACCCAGAAAGTTCTCATGGTAATTTCTAGTCTACAAAAAGGCTGTAGTTCTGAAGTAAGAAACCCAAGGTTTGCACTTGGCTGGACTATACAACTAAGTGGAGCCCTAGATGATTGATTGGTGGGACACCACAGAGGAGGGAGGTGCTTCCCTCATCTCAGGGCAAGGTGAAGTTCCTACATCTCACTCAAGTCCTCTGGTGAGACAGCTGATTTAGGGAGCTTGAGTGTGCCCTGGCATTCTTCCAGCGTGGATATGGCAAGGCAGCTGTCAGCATCCCCTCCCCCGAGAGGAGCTCCATGTCCAGAACCAGCGTGGTGGCTACCCTACGACCTGTCAGGCACCTGCTCTCTAGCTAGTTTGCTTTGTGAGACACAAAGAGGGAGGCCTCAGATCTTCCACAGGCATTTCTTTGTCTTTGAGTGGTTTGTAGCTTCTGAAGAGCCCAGTCCTTCAGGGTTATGTGACCAGGATAAACTGAATATGGCTTCTTCAAATAAGGGTACTCTGGGAAACTTGGCCTGAAAATCCTACCACATGCTGTTTCCTGGAAGCCCCCAGAAGTTCTCTAAGTCCTACTCACTATCCTTGGATGGCCTCAAGCTTGCCTTGGAGCCAGTCCAAGTCAGGCCCTGTCTGTTCCCACCCTCAACACTTCCAAGTGACTGTCTTTCCTTCCCTGGACTTTGATCTTTTAAAGACCCACCTGCTTACAGTCTCAGGGCTCTGGTTCAAGCTACCTGTGCTATCGTCGCTTCAATCTGCATGAGCTTGGGGCAATCACAAACCTCCGAAATCTTCAGTGCGTGCATCTAAAAACTGGGGCTAATGGTATCTACTCTGCAGAAATCCTAAGATTTTGAGAGTTAAAGGAGATAACACTTGTATAGTGCTTGGTACAGTCTCTGTCACAGAATATGCTTAGCCACAATGGTGTGAACTGTTCCTATGAGGCTGCCGACCTGTTACTCCTGGGCCCTAGCTCAGAAGGATCTGCCACTTCTCTTTTAGGATTAGAATTTGCACCCTTAGTACATGGCGGACCACTGACTGATTCTCTGCTGCCACCTTCTGGTCAATGTCCCCCTTGCACCACAAGTGTCTCAAGAAAGACTGCAGATGCCTTTGAGGCCAGTGGGGACAGACTCCTTGCTCTGCTGCCTGGGACCCTTAAATCCCAGCTCTCATTTATTATCTGTATGACCTTGGTCCCCTGATCTTCAACATCCTCATCTGCAAATGAGATTAAATAATTACAAAATTGCTGTAAGAATTAAATGAGGCGGTGTATGTAAAACCATCTCTCACAAGGCCGGCAAGTTATTGAAGCTGGAGAAATGCTGGTGCCTCTGTGAATTTCCTGTGATTGCATGAGCCTCTGGAAAGGGGTGGCAGGTAAGCCTGGGAGCTCAGGTTACTGCTAAGTGTTACTCAGCTAACAAGCGAATGACTGCCTGTGGAGGAAAGAGACCTCTGGCAGAGAGGTTCTGAAGGTAGCAGGCAGTGGTGAGATAGAGAGGGAGCAGAAGAAGGCCTAACAGGGGGAACTGGAGGACAACAGAGCCATCCCCTCCTCTCTCAGACACCCAAGAGCAAGAGAGGTTTAGTTTGGACTCAGTTTGGCTCCCTCTCAAAGAATGGGGGGGAGAAGGAGAGGCTGTCAGTTCTCACTCCATTAGGAAAGATGCTCAGGTGAGCCAGTCTCTGTCCCCCACATGCACAGCAACTGGCTCATGGAGAATACAGCCCAGCTCCCAAGGCTGCTCGGGAGCCTAGAAGAGTGCCAGTAAACCAGAAATGCTTCAAGCCCCTCAGCCATTTGTGAGTTGTCACTATTCAAGAGTGGATTTTCACCTTCGAGGAGGATAGTTACTGAGGGGTCAACCTCGGTGTTCACTGTGATGT